TTTAATTCAGGACTTAAATGTTATAAAACTATCAAATTAAGTCTAAAAATTAACAAAATCCATAACACCATTAAATTGAGAGTTTTAAGAAAAAAAAAAAGAAAAGAAAAGATTGTTTTCTTACTCTCATAAAATAACAAGTAAACATTTGCATAATATTAAAAAAAAATAAAGAGAAAATAGATGATAGCAAAAAAACCGAGCAAGAGCTTCATACTTTCCTACAGTAAAATAATGTGTTATTTTTCTATAGTATAAGCTCCCATAACTTTTTATCTCTTGATTATCCAATATTTCAATTATTTTGCAACACATGAGATTATCACGGGCTCACTATCACTAATGCTCCCCTAAATATGGTGGGTACATATTAATATGTTCACCATTTATGTGATATGTACGTACATATTGGTAATGTATTTTTTTTAACATATTAACATCACTAATATGTGCATGTCATATAAGCGATGAGCATATTAACATATGCCCGGGAACATTGGTTGGCTCACTACACTTAACAAAACTAGGACTTTTACGGAATGATTATTTTATTAGGCTTTATTGATTAGATACATATTACGGTGAAAATAAGCTGCAGCCGAAAGCAGGAACATATGAAAAATTTTAGATATCCCGCGAATCGTGCATAATTATTTAATTAATTATCAATTTTTATCCACTTAATTTGGACTTTAGGTTTGCCTTTGTCTGCCAGCCATTATAATATATTTAGACCATTGACATAAATTTGACAATATATATTTGATTTAAAAATTTTACCAACTAAGATACACTTCTCGATCTTTATTATTGACCTTTTTTTATCGGAGGTGCCCATATTTCTCACACTTTATTACACAATATACGCATTTCATCGGTTTTGCTATAGAGTCATCAAATGACTCGGCTTATGGAGTTATCTGTAGTTATTCACAAATTGTGTATTGACATGTGTCATACAATAAATAAACATTGAACACGTGTCAATACATAAAATTATGGATGACTTCATAAGGAAACCATCTGATGGCTTCATAGCATTTCTATTAATAATCTAGGTATTATTACTTGCATTATATAACAAGTATTAATAAATTAAACGTATGATTACGTAACTTTTTGTTCATCACAAAGCTCACACAAATTTCAATATCGACAATCTTGGAGGACCAATTTGCAAATCAATTTATCTGTAGAACAACTCCTTTATTTCCACGTCAGAAAAAGCTTTACTTTGAAAAAGAAAAAAAACAACTAAATCCGCCTTTGCTTTTCTCTACAACAAGTTAGAATAAAATCACTAACATAGTACCATTTAGTTGGCTTATTTAACTCAATGTTCATTTCACACACCAACTCCCATTTTTTTTTTAGGCATGGACCTCAAATCTCTTCCCCAACAACACAATACATTTTCCGGCCATCCGCCACCACCGCCTCCCGGCGCTGGCCTGGCCCACCACCGGGCCGTCTTCCATTGGGCCTTTTATTGGGGCAAAGAGGCCCAATTCCTTTTCAACCACTGGCCCGACAATAGTTCGGCCATGTACGCACTTTCCTTGATACTCGTCTTCACTTTAGCAGCAACCGTCGAGTTCTTGTCCAAACTCGACATTGTCAAAGATGGCTCTAACCGGGTCAGCTCGATTTTCTTCCGGGCTGGGATATCTGCTGTACGGGCCGGGTTTGCGTACATGGTGGTTTTGGCCGTGATGTCGTACAACGGTGGCGTGTTCATTGCGGCCGTTTTGGGCCATGCGGTTGGGAACGTTGCTGCTTTTACGAGTGGGCTGGTGAAGAAAGACGTTAGGCCCAACTGATTGAAATAGTTGGCTTGGTTTCGGTTATGGGCATGTGGCCTTATTTCGGTGTGATCTTGTTGAGGCTTTGGTGTTTTATGTACCAAATGTTTTTTCTTCTCTATTTCTGTTTTATTCATATTTAGTTTCTATAAAAGGATGTTGAGAAATTTCTGTGGTGATATCTAATTTTATTTATTAATAAAATAACTACTTTAATAAAAAAAACAGAGTTTTCATGTTAGCCCGTCTTCATAAGATCTCATCTAACAACAATCACAATATGGTACACCTGTCCAATCCGAGGGCCGAAAAAAGTCTACTGCCAGCAGGCCACAATCTCGACCACACATTTGCCCGTGTTGGAGGAGCAGTGGCCTCAAGAAGATGTTCCTTTTCACCATCCGTGGAATCACGGTTATCGATTTCATGGGGTTCACCTGGACCTTGTTGTACCAGATCAGGGCCACCGACCTCGGAAATCTCTCCAGGTTTCTTGTCGAACAATCCCTTAAATTGTTGACGAGCCCGTTTGTGAACCTCCTGCATTCGTTAAAAATGGTCTCAACTCGAGTGATAGTAACAGTAATAACAGGAATAAAAAAAAACCCATCGGCCTTCCAAAATTCGAGCTTCTTTTTCTAAGTTGCTTTTCATGCCGACCTGTTCTTCCTTCTTAAGTTTAACGAGAGCTGACTTGGCAGTTGATTCCGATGATTTGTCCATCATCATCTACAAAACACAAGAGGTATAGTTTAAGGAGTGTTGGAAAAGGCAAAATTGTAGTTTTAGTGCTGCTGGTTTAACGTCATAGCAAATTTTAGCCCCAGATTTCAACGTTTCACTTTTGGTCCTGTGATTTAATAGTTTGCTGCAATTTTAGTCCTCAAATGAATAAAATTGCAATAAATTCCCAAATTTTCAATTAACAATTTAATTCCTGTAATTTAAAATGTTGCTGCCATTTAAGTCCGGTAGCTTATTTTTTTTATTTTTTTATTTTTTGTTTTTTGCAATTTCAGTCCTCAAATTGCGGCAAAATATTAAATAAAAAAATTGCTATGACGTTAAACCATCATGACTAAAAATGCACTGTTGCCTGTTGGAAAAAGTAACGAATTTCGGAACGTGTCTTTGAGGAAAGATGAAGTTTCTTTCACCTTGTTGAAATCGGCTCTAGCTTCTTCAAAATCTCCAGCGGCCATGTGTGCCATTCCTCGGCGGTAAAGAGCTTTGGAATGAACCGGGTTAGTGTCCAATACCTGTTTAAATATATATAGATATTTTTTAAAATAAATCGAAATATGCACCAAACTAAAATTGCAAAAAACCATGAATTAACTAATTCGAAGGACTACCTTGTTACAAGCTTCAACTGACTTTCTGTATTCGCCCAGCTTCAGCCAACAGGCAGCCACGTTCAGATTCAACAAATTCTTCAACCATTTTGCAAACAAGGAAAAAAAAGTCAATAATAAAAAATCAACCCATTTTTCGGAATAATATAAATTCTTAATGTGCGAACGATCAGAAGGTAAAACCAATCAAGTACTTACTCTTGTGTCTGAAAACTCTTTTCCCTCATCGTCATCTTGAGGATTAACGTGATTAAATTCCCGAAGCACCTGTGTGAAAATAAGCAAATTCAGTTTACAAAAAGATCTCAAGATAAGCAACTTGTGTAAAAAAGTAGCCGTGAGGTTTCCCATTTAAAAAGAAAAGACGGTAAAAAATAAATATAAAGAACTCAATTACTATAAAGAACACAATTACTGCTTTAGAGTGTTTCCCATTTTTAGTCATGTTGATTTAACGTCATAGTAATTTTAGTCCCAAGATTCCAAGTTTTTGCCTTTTCGTCCTGTGATTATATTTTGTTGCAATTTCAGTCTTTTAAATCACAAGACCAAAAAGTGTTGAAACCTTGAGACTAAAATTGCTATGGCATTAAACCAGCATGAGTGCATGACTAAAAGCAATTTTGCCTAATACATTACATAAATTGAGGGCCAAGTAAGAGTAATAGATACATACATGCTCGTATTTAGCCTTGGCAAGTTCATATTTGCCTTCTTTGAATAGCCTATTACCCTGAAATAAACGACACCGCGATGAGTTTCTCTGAAGCATGGACCAAGCTCAAAATATTTTACTTCTGTCCAGTGCTTGAAACTTACTGATGTTCGAATCAACAAAAATATGTATGATGACAGTGAGTACAGATTGATAAAATTGCAAAACTATAGCAAATACGTTAAACGCTGCTATTTGGCCTTACCAAATTTTCCTTTCCTGTTTTTTCGCATAACTACTAAAGAGTGGAAAAGAGGTTTTTTAAACTATCAATTCAAGTAACATTATACCTACCGTGCCTTTAATCTTCTCAACATCATCCATAATCTCTCTGAAGTTGAAGCCAGTCCAGTCCTGTACCAACAAAGCACATACTCGTTACTTTGAGCAAAAATGCATTTTGTCATGTTGGTTTAACGTTATAGCAATTTTAGTCCCGTGAATCCAACTTTTGGCGCGTAGTTTAATATTTTGCTGCAATAATTGCAAAAAATAAAAAAAATAAATAAATAAATTACAAGACTTAAATTGCAACAAAATTCTAAATTACATAACTTAAATTGCTGATTGAAAATCTGGAAATTTGTGAATTTGTTGCAATTTCGGTTCTCAAAGGACTAAAATTGCAGCAAATTAAATTACAGGACCAAAAAGTGAAATGTTGAAAGGACTAAAATTGTTATGCCGTTAAACCAACAGAGTCTAAATTATATGATAAATCCATCCATCACTCCTGAAATTGCCTAAGCAATCCTCAGATTTTGATTAGATAGTTTCTTTTTTAAGGTTTAAAATTTGCAAAACCTTTTGCTTCTCATAATCAAGAAGCTCAATCTCCCATTGAATGTAAGCACCTTGAGGAACTTCGGCTGGCCTATTTCATATTTAGAAAAGAGAAGCAAATAAAAATAAGGATAGTTACAATTTTATTCAAACGATCAAAGGCACACTAAAATTAACCTTGAGAATTTGTCGTAAGCATAATCAGGAGGGCATGTGACAAGAGCTATCTCCCCAGGCAACATTAATCGGGTGCACAT